CTGCCAGCGCAGCGAGGTCGGGGGACCGATACGGTGGTCACGCTGGAAGAACGGGACGATCTTGTTCCAGACGGACTGATCCGTCCCGAAACCGTGGGACAGGACGACCACCTTCGACCCCGTTCCGATCACCCTCACGTTCAGGATCTGTAGCAGTCTCGCTCCGTTGCCATTTCCGACCATCTTTTGTGTTTAATTAATTTGCTAGCTTCCTCAGAAAATTTCTCAAAGGGGAGGGAGGGAGGGAGGGGAGAAGTGGAGGATGCTGATATATATATATAGTGTGTGGAGCCGTGGTGAGGTTATTATATACGCGAGGTTTTATCTCGCCCCCCTTCCGCTCATATCACTATTCTTCTCTTTCCTAGCGCTCCTTTCACTTGCTTTTTGTGGCTTATTATCCAAAGAGTGACACTACGGGCACACCCCCAACCACACCTTGGGACACACCCCCTCTCTCAGCTATAGTGCACGGGTCCACTTTAGATTTTTTTAAAAATCTAAAGTGAGCCCCATGCACTGTAGCTGGGAGAGGGGGTGTGTATCAAGGTGTGGTTAGGGGTGTGTCTGTAGTGTTTTCCTTATCCAAACCCCGGTATCTCGTTAATCTTTTGTCCTTTCTACGCACCCGTCTCCGCCACTATTTTTTTTTCCGCCCCAAATTTATCCGGGTGCGCGTTTTGTATTGAGGTAGGCTCACCCCTGGTGAGCTTACTCCTCTAATTGCCTAACTCTCCTTCTAGATGAAGAGGGGTCACAAAAAGAAGAGGAGACCTCTCAGTTTCGAACCAATATTAATTTCAAGTGATTGTCGTAGACATTTTATTTTAAATTGTAGAAGAGCGACTAATCCGAAAACAAATCTTAGAGAAACTCTTCATGCTTTAAAATCCGGGTTTTAAGATGTAAGCAACTGACGCTTTGAGCTTATCTTGTGTGTGAGGGGACCATCTCTTTCAATTAAGGGGAAAAAAAGGCGTTGTTTGTGAGATGCTAAAGTGGTAAACACCAACTAGTGACTAGTTAGGTCAATTAATAGACCAATTTGTACTTTTTTTTATTTTTTTTATTTTCTATCCATTTGGAGTCTACCAGCTTGCCAACCCAATCACAAGGCATTGGGGAGGTACATGTATCATCTCTTCGCTGTGATTGGTCCCGATCGTGTCAGCAAGATGGGAAAAACTATTAGGTGCCGTTTGGCAAAGGGTTAAGTGAGAGGTTAAGGAGACTTAACCCTTTCTTAACCCGCCAAACACAAAAAATCTATATAAGGGTTAAAGTGAGTTAACCCTCTATAATTTGCCAAACACAAAATATATAGAAAGGTTAAGCTAACCCCTCTAGAGGGATTAAAATGAGTTAACCCCTTAAAATGATGGGTTTACTAATACTCCTATTTAGAAGGATTAAGAACTAATCATTCTAATTATAAAGAAAATAGTCAAAATCCTTGTTATTCCCAAACACTAAAAGTGATCATAAGGGTTAAAATAAACTTATATAACGGGGTAATAATTTAGTCCTTCGAATTGTTAAATGGACTAACTATGTTAATATAAAGAAAATTGACTTGTATTTCTTTGATTCCGATTACAATTCGATTACAAAAGAGAAGAGAACGAATTTGGTTCTCTCCTTTGTTTAAAACTGGGTTCTTCAAGGTAGCGATGGAGTGCCTCCTTCGATTGCTCGCGTCGAATTTGCTCTCCGTTGACGATCCGACCGTCTTTTATCTCGTGGGAACGATGAACTTTTGTGGAAAAGTTTTATGAGTAACTCTGAATGAGTTTTAGAACTCTGAACGAGTTAGAACTCTGTGAATAGAGTTGTTAGAACCGAAAATTCGGTTAATGACCAAGCAGATATTCTGTTGTTGAAGAATCCCTTCGGTTTTGATCTTCTGGATTTGATTCAAAAATCCTATCTCCAAGGATTTTTTGCCTCTCTCACACCTCTTTGTGCAGTTGAGATCCTGAAGAACTAACTTACTGCTTCTTCGTCCCAAAAAGCCAGCTAGCCAGCCCCTTAACTCAGTTGAGTTTGTTGAGTTTTTATAGGTGGATAAGAGGTTGTAACTGCCCTCTAAATCCGCTCCTAAGTGGGCGTGATTTCCTCAGATCGTGGGGAAACAGTTCTGAAACCGTTCGACTCGTATTCGAACGAGTCAAACGCCCAATCTAGCGTTCAGAACCCAACGTCGCCTCTTAGAATTGAGACGCGGGGTTGGGTGTTGGCTGAACATCATTGAACGCGAGGGTCGCTCGCGTTTTGGTTTGTTATAGTTTCGGAACGCGGGGGTCGGTGTTGGTTGAACCCCTACAAACGCGAGGGTCGCTCACGTTTAGCTTGTGCTTGGAAACGCGGGGGTCGCCTGCACTTCCAGAATTGTAACGCGGGGATGACATCCGCGTTTTAGAAGGAGCTAGTTGACTTGTAACTTCTTCTGTAAAGCGTTGCAAGGACCGTTATTCAGTAATCCTAGCTTTAGCTATTGTGGAGTGTGAAAGTCGTCCGATTGTAACATTCACTGTAGATTATGAAGACTGCTGAATAGAGTTTTCATTAGTTGTCGGAAGTGTCGTTGAATTGTAACTCTTCTCGATCTATGTGAAAAGTCCTCCATTTGCAGCTTTCGATTGTCGGCGCGAAAGCTATTTGATTGTAGCTTTCGTTGTTGGAACTTGACGGGAATTAACATCCATAGTGTTTTTAGATGAATATTTGCCCACAGCTCTCTACCAAGCAACTCACCAACTAAGTCCAACCTTTTATTTCTGAAATCATTACACTGCTCATCAGCATCTCTAATAGTTGCTAATATAATATTAGTTATGTTGTTGTCGCAACCATCAAGATCAATCATCTCAGAAATGAGGTCGTGTTTGTAGCGATTGTAGAATTGTGAATACAGTGATTAGAAAGTCGTCTGATTGTGACTTCCATTGCCGGAGCTTAATAGGGATCAGCTATCCATTGTGATTTTTAGACAGCCTACATTAATCCTTCTCCTTAATCTCTCTTCATTAACTCTTTGCCAAACAAAACCTAAGAGATTTCTTTGTACCAGAGTAGTTAGATGAATAAAGAGAAAGAAGAATGTTTAGACCATTGTATTAATCTCCAACTACCCTATTCTATACTACTCCAAAAGTGTACAATTATTACCGTATCAAACATTAAGTGGATAAGAGCTACTGGATAATTTCTCGTATTCCAATTGAATCTAATTCAAATGACCCAATGGCAGGCACGCAAGCGGAACTACGCCAAACACTGTGAAATTGTACGCTTGCACCCAAAAATCAGATGAAAGATAAAGGTGAGCAAAAATTTCAAGAAATCATCCATTATTGCCCCCACCCTTCATTAAACTCTACAGTAGTAGAGTGCACTTAATTAGTAGCTGAGGGGACCTCAAACCAATTGTCGTAAGTTAGCAATAAGAACTGCTTTATGAGGATGAAAACAACCTTACACAACCACACCAATCAATTAACCAATAAAATAATTCATGAAGTATGTTTCATCTCTAAGAAGGTACGAACAAAAGATAAGTGACCAGTTTTCAAGCCAAGACCAAGGCTCAAAAGATCTGATCCAAAAAATGCTCAAAACTCTCTAAGATCCGAAGTCTCCAAGCCCTCTGTTGCCAAAAGATCTCTCAAAAGCTCCAGCCGAATCTCCCGAACTCAGCTGAGTTTCCAGCTATTTATAGGGGTTTTAGGGGTGTAACTAACCTCTAAAATCGCTCCTTAGTGGGGTTGTGATCCCCTCAGATCATGCAAAACGGTTTTGGAACCGTTCAACTCGTATTTGAACGAGTCAAACGCGAAATTCGCGTTCTGGGAATGAATTCTGCGTCTTGAACTTCAGACGCGAAGTCGGGCTCTGCGTTTGGGGCTGAAAACGCAGTGGTGAGCTCTGCGTTCTGTTCTTGGAACACAGAGATGAGCTCTGTGTCTCGAGTTAAAGAGACCGTCAACTTGTAGTCTCTTTTGTTAGAGCGTTGCAAAGATTTTTGTCTCGTAATCTTCGTCTTGGCTCTTTGAAACATGAGAGTCGTCAATTGTAACACTTGTTGGTAATTGTGAAGGCCGTCGAATCAAAACTTTCATCAGTTGTTGTGAAAGTCTCCCAAATATAACCTTCTGAATGTCGTCAAATTGTAACTTTCATCATTGGTGTTTGACGGGGATTAACTATCCGTAGTAATTTTTAGACAGCCTACAAAACTCTCTCATCGTTGGGTATATTCTATGGACGGGGGATGGTGGACTTGAATGGTCAACTTTGTCTTGGAGGAATTGGGAGAACCACTTGCCTGCTTTGGACTTAGAGTTCCCTTGTTGGCCACTCGACATGGAATTCTCCAGGGTTATTACAACTTCTTCGCCATGCTAGAGCGATATAACCCTGATTCTTGTTCATTCTTCACACCTGTTTGGAAGTGGAAGTGGGGCTCATTTTGGTTTACCTTCACTATCACCAACCAGCCCAAGACCCGCAGGGAATGCCTTATCCCTAGCCAGCAATAGAATACGACGAACGCCACCAAGATATCAATGACATTCGGCTTCATCTGCGTCGGCGATACCCTAAGCGTCGTGAACACCTGCTTGTGGAAAGGATGCAGAGGCAACCACAAGCCAAACTCCAGATGCCTCACATAGAGCGGGCCTCGTTCCGGCCCATGATCGAATATGGCCTTCGACTTTGTCGTAGTGAGCAAATCATATGCTTTCGGGATATCAAACCTTCAGTACATCGTCTTTTTTTGTGACAAAGTCACCTTAGAGTGAATATCCGCCAATAGAGCTCGACGATCCACATGTGCAGAAGCCATTGGAGATTGAAGAGTTGAACGTCGGAAGAAATGAACGGAGAAGATCAACAGTTCTCTGAAGAGAATTTGAGAGGATAGCAACCGCCACTCTTATGGCCCTATTCCTATATATAGGCAACTGGCCTTTTCAACTGTCGAAATCCGAACCATTGGATCCAACTTTGTCCAACAGCCAGGATTAAATCTTAGAAGATCAAGGCGTGGCCTACTCACCTCAAAAAGCCCGTAATCTGCTAGGAAAAATGGAGCGGCGACAATTAAAAGAAATGTATAGTGACGTCAACCACGTCAATTTTGAAGAGATTTTCAATTTCTCATCTAGTACGCTTCCGCATCCATCCAAAGCTAATTTGATTTCACTCGGACCCGGCTCAAGCCGACTCCAAGTGAAAGGGGCCAACTGTTATGGTGTTTCCATTCTCTAAAAGTGCAAGTTCATTGCCAAGAAATTGACAATTGTGCTACATGCTATCCCAATCGACTTGGCGGTCGAAGACTGATAGGGACAACAACTCAGCCGACCTGTCGAGTCGACATCCCTCTATGTCGACTCGAAAGGCGGTACTTGTAGCCCACTTTTCGAAGACGACTCACCACGAGTTCACTCGACCATTTGCTAGACGCCTTATGAAGCCGACTCGAAAGACGTTACTTCTCACCGAAGTCAAAGGAAATCTTCTGCCTCGAGCTTATCCTCGCTGACAATGTTTCAACGTCCCACATAATGCTTGACAGGCGCATCAATGCCCCTAGTCTCAATAGCCTTGATGACTCATCGGACCACATGGGCACTGTCATGCCGCTAGTCACTTCTCGTTTAATGCCGAAGTGATTCATCCCCCACTCGCTAGCCGACACCTGTAAAACATGTGCTGACACAGCCGCCAGACCACACTTCACCACAGCCATCCTATGTTCGGCCGAAGTGACCAATCTACCCTTACATCCTAGGTACATATACATGTACTATTCTACCTTACAGAGGGCTATAATTTTAGATTTTAATCGAGATCTTGATTTCCAAATCTGATCCTTAAGTAATCACACCGCACACAAGAACTCTCATAATTCTTATTTACCCCACTCAAGTTCATCGGCTAACATGATCGTCAGAGGTACAACGGGAGAACCAAACCCCACCCTCTCACGGACTTCTACTTGTGCAGATTCATCTACCATGTTCAAAGAACTAGACATAAAGTCAGAGAAGAAAGAGGCCATTCATCAATCCTCAACAAATTCATCCAAACACGGATATAATTGACTGTGTGATCACTTGTACATCAACAATATTATACTTTTATTTGCTTTGTCGTTGATTGCTCCAACAGTGGTATCAGAGCTAAGGTCATGAACCAAGTAATTTAAAAAAAATAGATGATCTTTAATGTGAAGCCCGAAGGTGTTGGGAGAATACATGGATGCATGTAGGAGAGATATAGTCTAGTTAGTCACCATAAGTGAAGTAGTGGAAGTTCCTACGGGTGTTTGATAGCTATGTGCTGAATGCATTGTCAGGTTAGCCCACAAGTTGAGTGGTGCAAAAGTTTGTGAACTGGTTAGTCCACGAGTGAAGTGGTGCAAAAACTTAGTGAATTCCGTGGAAGATTGAATTATAGTTGAATTAAAATATACTCATAAAATTAAGGGAGAGTTGTTGAGGAGATTAATATGTGAGTATAGTCCCACATCGGATAAGATAAGAAAGAGTGATGAGTTTAAATAGGAGTTTGGATCAATACGTGATAGCTATAGATTTTGGGTTAAAAGTGATTCCTAACTTCTATTTAAGGCTCATCAACTCTGGTTATAAGCCAAACGTAAGATATCTCAAAGTGTTTGGCTCCATTTCTTATGCTCATATTCTAGCAGAAAGGAAAAAAAACTTGATGACAGAGGCAAGAAGACTGTTTTTATTGGCTACAAGTCCAGGGGCTACAAACTCTACAATCCTACTACAAATAAGGTGATTGTAAGCGGAGATGTTATGTTTGTTGAAGAAGAAGGTTAGAATTAGGATCTAGAAGCACAAAACAATTCACGACGTACTCTCCTTGATATTCTTGAAGATGGTATCCCTATTGCAACTGAAGAAGCACCACCGGCCAATGCTCCTGAAGCTCCAACCCGCAAGTTCCATTCGAAGTTGAAAGACCAAGAAGAAATCGCCAATCATCAGTTCTCTTGAGAGATTATGAAGTAACTCCAGATGATGATGTTGATGCAGATAGAGATATAGTGCAATTTGCAATGTTTGCAGATTGTGAGCTAGTTATGTTTGAAGAGGCTATTCAAGATCCTAAGTGTATAAAATGCAATGAAAGAGGAGATAAAGGCGATTGAGAAGAATGACACGTGAGAGCTTACTAATATCCCACAAGGACATAAAGCAATCAATGTGAAGTGGGTTTTCAAAACAAAGATTAAAGCGAATGGTGAGGTTGAACGACATAAAGCAAGATTGGTGACGAAAGGCTACGAGCAAAGGTCTGGTTATGATTAACAAGAGGTTTTTTCCTATTGCTAGAATTAAAACTGTTAGATTAATAATTGCTCTGGTTGCACAGAAGCATTGGAATATTCATCAGATTAACGTGAAGTTAGTTTTTTTAATGGGCCACTTGAAGAAGAAGTTTTCGTAAAGCAGTCACCTGAATTTGTGAAGAAAGGATGCGAGCATAAAGTATACAAGTTAAAAAAAGCCTTGTACGGGCTGAAGTAGGCGCCATGAGCATGGAGCAAAAGAATTGATTCTTTCTTTCAAGATAGTGGATTTCAGAAGTGCCCCTCCGAACATGTCTTATATGTGAAGATAAACAACTCTGATCTTGGCTTGATGTCTTATTTTCTCGGCATTGAAGTAGTTCAAGGAGATGATGTGATTTTCATATGTCAAAGGAGGTATTGTGCAGAGTTGTTGAAGAGGTTTCAGATGTTTGATTGCAATCCTGTTAGAATTCCTGTGGAGGTTGGTACTAAATTATCTCGAGAAGGTGATGGTGCAGAAGTTGATCCTAGCTATTTCAAGCAAATTATTGAGAGTTTGAAATATCTCACATGGATGAGGTCAGATATAGCCTATGGAGTTAGTCTAATCAGCAGATATTTGGAGGCCCCTCGCCAATCTCATCTACAAGTTACAAAGAGAATTATGTGATACCTAAAGGAGACTTATGATCCTGGTTTGTTTTATTCTTCATCTAATAATTGTGATGTTGTAGGCTATTTTGATAGTGATTGGAGTGGAGATCATGATGATCGTAAAAGTACTTCTGGCTATGTTTTCAATTTGGCACCACCGCATTTTCATTGTCGTCGAAGAAGCAGCCTATTGTTACACTCTTAACTTGTGAAGCGGAGTATGTAACAGCTGCGTCTAGTGCTTGTCAAGCAATTTGGTTGTGTAATGTGATAAGTCAGATTCATATTCAAGTTGAAGGTCCTACAAAGATTTATGTTGACAATAAGTCCGCAATTGATTTGGCGAATAATAAAGTCACTCATGGAAGGAGCAAACATATTCATACTCGTTACCACTTTTTACGAGACAATGTTGAGAAGAAAGAGATCGTGTTGATTTGTTGCAAGCCTGAAGATCAAGTTGCGGACATCCTCACGAAACCTTTGAAGTTTGAAGCGTTTGTCAAGTTTAAGCATATGATGGGAATGAAGACCATACAGAATTAGGATTAATGGGCGATGTTGAAGTTAATCCTAATTCTAAAAGGATTTGAGTTAGTGATCTCTAGGAATTATAGTCATACTAGAATTATATTATGAAACACTTTTGTAAACTCTTTAAATAGGCATTCATGCAACCTTCTACCTAAGAGGAAAAAAAGGGAAAAAAAGATAGGAGAGTACTGTAACTACAGTAACCGAGAGTTAAAAACAATTTTTTAGTTTGCTTCTCCTACTAAATCTCTCGTCACATATATTATACTTCTATTTGTTTTGCTGTTGATTGCTCCAACATAATTTCCCTCATGTACAATGAAGTTACTATAGTCAATTAGATTAAAACTGCCTGAAATCGTGCCTTCCGCTTTGGACAAAGTAATGATCTGACCATCTCACTCTGCTCTCAATAATACGCCTAACTTGCAAGCAAGGTCTTCTTTCACATAATTCATAACAAAAGAGAGACGAAATTCACATACTTGAATATACTGGAGCCCATTATAGCCTCGCGTGCTGCGCATCATTATCTTTAGAGGAAATTCAACTTATGCTTCAAATCATTTGCTACCATCTGATCCATATAGGGATTTTTTGTCATTATAAAATGGGTAGAATTTGAATAACATTTGCAAGAATCAGATTCGCCTATTTGGTCCAACTCCAATCCGTCTCGATCCCATTTGTCAGTGCTCCTTTTGGTCCCTCTCCATCTGGTTTCCACATCCACATTATATAATTCTCCACAAACACCAGATCACTGTAGAGTACAGTGGAGAGTCCGAGGCCCCCCACGAATTTTTATTTATTTATTTTTTGTTTGGGAAAAATTTCCACAAAACCCCCCGAAACTTTAGGGGAGATTCCTACAAAATCCCCTTCAACTTTGTGTTAATTTTCCCACCGAACCCGCAAAAGCTGTTCGCGCGAAGCCCCCAGAACTCCAAGGAGTCCCAAGTAACCCGCCGAAGTTTCAACTTTTTCTCACAGGACCCCCTTTAAAAAGGAAGGCAGAATCGGGAAGATAACGAGGTCATCCAAGAAAGCTAAACCTTTTTTCATCCTGCTCGTGCGTAAAGGGATAAAGATTGAGCAGGACTCTATTTCCCCCCCGCATTTCCACTATTACTTTCTCTTTGACAAGCCCTCCACTAACTGTTCGAGTACCCAAAACAATGTTGCACCCAATAATGAACTCCACATTCACAAAGTCATAGGAGGACGCACGTATCTGTATGTATGCACGCGCGCAGCATTCGTCTTCTGATGTTTTCGTCTCGATTCTTTTACACGTATCTGTGCGTACGCACGCGCGCATTCGGCTTTGGATATCTCCGTTTTATTCTCTTTTTTTACAGGATAAACTTTCTTTCTGATTGCCCCTTTTCTCCTTCACTCTCATCAGCCCCTATTGATGGGCGCAGTACGATAGGGAGACTATTCTTGAATGTGGACCCGTTCTCTTTCATCTCATCGAAACAATGATGCTTTTGTTTCTGCGCACACGTCCAACTCATTGTACTGTACAGGACTGCTAGTTATTTTTTTTCTTTTTCTTTTTTAAAAATCAACAGCACTGGTAGAAACAGCAATCAGGGTATAATCTATTTGCAATGTTATGACAGCGAGGTCCTTGATTATTTGCTACATGTGATTCACTAGCCATTGCCCGAGTCAACTAGCTAACAGGTTGTTGTTACTAGCTAGCTAGAGGGAAAAGAAGAGGAGGGCCAAAAAAAAAAAAAATCTAACACTGAACTCACTTTCAAGTGTTGCTGTGATTTCATCAACATCTTGGGTGAAAGTTGACATGTTTGTCCGCTTCTTTCCCAAAATCGAATACGGGATCTTGTTGTCTAGATGTGAAGTCTCCAACTCTGCCTTTTTTTGGAAGAGTTAGGCACCTACTGTTCCTTAATTAGGTGCTCCACATGATAATGTTTCTAAGGACCCCTTGAAATGGACACGGCGCATCAAATTGCAGATAAACATGCGGCCTCTCCTACACTCGCATTTCCCTCGAAAACGACACGCATGTTTGTATGTATGTATGTGGGAAGAGAGAGAGAGAGAGAGGGGGGCTCTTTTTCACGTACTTGAGGCAGACCTCACATTCATTGGTCTGAAATTGTTGGGTGACTCATTGGTCTTCTTATCTTACACATGGGCTCTCTTATCTATCTTCATATTTTGGTACCGAGTGCTTGCCTCAGAGCCCAGTGTTTCCATGTCGGAAGTGAACAGAGCCTGTCGAAAACCCCTACCCCTGCCTTCGCGTGACCGGCTGACTACGGAAAGGACCCCACTTCATATTTACTTCATCATCCAATCGGTTGTCGGATTCACAGCCGCCCATACAAGCAACCCCCCCACGCGCAAATCAGAGGGCTCAGGCTGACACGTGGAAGCATCGCATACCCAAGTCACAGCCTTCATTATTCCGGGTGGGGCCACTCCGTATGGGAACATGGGCGAGGCTCAGGGTATCTCTTCTCTAGGGGATAACGAGCATAGCGAATTGTTTTCTGCCGACAGCCGTACGATTGGACTCTGAGAGGCTTGGCATAGCGTAGTCCCCTTTTTCACGGAAGACAAATTTGCTCACAGGAGACCAATCTAATAAGCCTCTTCGGCGGTTGTGATTGGCTGAAACGCCACCAAATAAAGGGCAAATGTTCCTAAGTTTGCAGATGAACTCACGCATAAGGTGCTTGGAAAAAGTTGTACACATGCAAGTTTTTTTTGTGGAACTGAAAATTAATGTCACGTTATCAAGTTAGTTGAAGCAAATAGCTCCTCCGGGTCTTAATAAGTCGAGTTCTGTTGCTTTTGACATTTTTATTAGTTAGCTGCTTATCCTCCAAACAGTGCTTAATAATTATGTACTAGCAGCTATTATCTGGACGTGCAACAGAGTTTGCTCACAGGCGTAAACTGTTACTGAAAGAGATTTTGGAGCCATTAAGAACTGGTGCAAGGAGAAATTCAAGTAATTAGTTCACTGACGGAAAGCAAAAGCACGCAATCAAAACATTTCTATGGAACTTAGAATTCTACCTGCCAGCATAGAGAAATCATTTCCTTAATCATAACAATTAAATAATATCCAAGTAATTATTTATTTTTATATGACTAATATTGTATTCCCCTGAATTGCACTGATTTCCACTCCTCATCATCACCAGCCTATCCCAAGCCAAGTTAAAGGAGGAGGGTTACATTAGGTAGCCGACATCAAGCGTAAAATATAGTCCGGTCCACATAAAAATGAATCCTATTAAATATTCACCGGGGCATCTCCACTGAGATGTGTTCCGTTGATGTCATCCTGATGCAATGATAAGTAAGCAATGATGGTTTGCTAGGGCGTTCCCTGCTAGCGACGCGTTATATCAATGTCACCTCAGTATAGTGGCAAGTAAGCAAGGATGTTCTAAGCATCTAGAATCCTCGAATAGGTTAACAAATAATGTTAGGCATAGACTATAACGATAAAAGATGAAAATAGTAAGAGACTTGTATAGGAAAATAGAATTAAGTTAGCTACTTAGAATATAGGTACACTACCAGAAAGACAATGAAATTAGTATCATGCTTAGAAGAAAGATAATTATAATTTATTTACAAGAAACTAATGGATATGTGAAAAATCTAGAGAAATTAAATATCGAAAAGAGAATAATGAAACAATGTGGGAGTCATTGTAGATAACATAATAAAAAATAGTGTTATAGATATAAAAAGAGTTAAGAGATAGAATAATACTAATAAATTGTATTAGGAGCAAATGTTATTAATATTATTAGTGCTTATGCATCATAAGTAGGGTTGCCCGAGTGTACTAAATGAGAATTTTCGGATAACTTAGATAAATTGATACAATGAATTCTTAGGAGGAAAATTCTTTATAGGAGGGTATCTTAATGGATATTGTTGGTAAGGATAATAATGGATATAAAAAGATACATAAAGGCTTTGGACATGGGGATATTAATGATATGGTAGAATTAATTTTAGAGTTTACAACATCGTATAATCTGATAATAGAAAAATGGATGAACATTTAATAGCCTTTAAAAGTGAATTTAATAATAGTCAACTAGACTTTTTTTCTTACTAGAAGGGTGAATAAGTTAATATGTAAAGATTGTAAAATTATATCGGGAGAAAGTTTAACTACACAACATATATTGATGGTTCTAGACATGTCTGCCAAGAAGTGAAATAGAGAAAACTAATATGAACAAGAGACTAAGAATTAAATGGTGGAACTTAAAAGGAGAGAATTTAATGCATTTAAAAAATAATAATGAAGGATGATATATAGAATATAAATAATGAGACTAATATTATGTGGAATAGCATGTCTACGTGTATTAAGAAAGTGGCTAAAGATATGCTAAGAGAATCTAAAGGTTGTAGATTAGTTGATAAGGAGAGTTGGTGGTGCAAAAGGCGATTAGATAGAAGAAATTATTATATAAAAAGGGGCAAAAGTGTAGGAGCAGTGAAAACTTGGAGAAATATAAGCTAGCAAGGAAGAATGCAAAAAGAACGGTTAATGAGACTAAATATAAAGCTTATGAGAATTTCTATAAAAAGTTAGGATCTAAAAAGAGAGAAAGATATATATAAGCTTGAAGATTAGAGAAATGAAGAGTAGGAATTTGAGTAATATTAGGTTTATTAAAAGTAAAGATCAAAGAGTTCTAGTAATTGACCGGGAAATAAAAGAGAGGTGGATGAGTTACTTTCATAAATTATTTAATAATAACCAAACAAGTGAGCAACATAGACAACTTGACCATATAGTGAATGATAGAAATTATAAATATTATCGAAATATTAGAAATGCTGAAGTTAAAGACGCTCTAAAGGAAATGAAAAGTGAAAACATCGTACGACCAGAGGGTATCCTCATTGAAGTTTGAAAATATCTTAAAGATATAGGCTTAGCAACGGACAAGTGTCCCCCTACATGCACCGCTCAAATCAAATTGACGGTCAGGACCACCAAGAATCCCGACTTAGCCGACTCACCGTGTCGTTGTCGGTTCTCTTGTCGGAGACGACTCGTTACGAGCTCACTCGACCAGTTATTTGACGTATCGCGGGGTCGACTCGAAAAGTGTTACTTCTCGACAAAGCTAAAGGATGACTTCAACCTCGAGCCTCTCCTGCTGACAACACATCAGCGTACATTAAATGCTTGCCAGGCGTCATCATTCCTCTAGCCCCGATAGTCTTCATGACACATCAGACCACGTCAACACCGTCATGTCTCCAATCACCTCGTATTAAATACCGAGTTAATCTCTCCTCCACTCGTCGGCCGACACCTGTAAAGTATGTGCTAACGTAGCCGCTCAATTGCCGTCATCATGTGCCCTACCGAGATTACTATTCTACCATTTTTCCACTACTATAAATAGAGGTATTATTCTAAACATCAGGGAAATGAATTTTCTCTAAGCAAGCAATATTTAAGAATTCCACTGCACTACGCTATAGAACTCACACAGTTCATCATTTTCCCACTCAAAGTTCATCAACTGACGTGATCGTCGGAGGAACAAAGGGGGAACTAGTTCACGTCCTCTCACGAATTGCTATTTGTGCAGGCAGAAGCTACTCAACTCAAAATCAAATGTTCAGAGAAGTTAGCGACCCCCTAATTAACCCCACCCTCATTATATTATTTGTTTGATTATTAACATCTAAAAGTAATTATTTTTATTATCGATGACCACTCATTCGGCATGATGGTAAGATTAATGATGATGGTGTTCACCGAATCAAATTTGGATGGTTAAAATGGATGAGTGCTTCGAGAGTTTTATATGATCATAGAATACCAATGAAACTAAAAAAGTGATGTAAGACAGTTATAAAACCAACAATGATTTATGGGTCACAGTGTTCGACAATTAAAAAATAACAAACACAAAACATAAGTGTAGCAAAAATGTAAATGTTGTGATAGTTTTATCAGTATACACTAAAAAATAGGATAAAAACTGAATGTATCCGTAATAAATTAGAATTTGTTCCTATAAAGAATATGATTATGTCTAACTTAACGGAGGAGATGTCTCATAATATAATGAAATTAAAGAATAGAATTCATATAGCTAATCCTAAAAATTTGGGATAAAAGCTTTGATGTTTGCTATTGTCCTTGTATCAAAACAACCATTATCATAAACACTTGTGATTGAAACAGTGCTCCCTCCACTGTGCAATTAAATCAACAGGTAATAAGTTAGCCTTAGCTCATTTAAGAACAATTCATTATAATTCTACTCAGCAAAATGAATAGATACTAATATCCAAACATAATATAAACCAATGAGCCAAACTCAACCACCCCCTTAGACATTACAATTTTAAATTTAAATAAATAATAAAAAGTCAGTACATTTGATTTCACCAAAATTTAAATCGAATGCTATATAACCAAGCCAAGCCAACAATAGCAGTTAGAAGAAAAGTATATCCAAGTAATATACCAAATGCTGCAAAAGAAGAGGCAGAGAGTGTATCCACCAACATGTTAACCATACCCGTGAGAAGATTAGCCTGCATTAAGAAAATACCATCTTTAGTGCAAAGCTTCAAGAGTTAGCTTGTTACGCTCCAAATTCAACCAGAAGAAACTGTCATCTCACCAGGAGAAATGACCCCAGCAGATTGTAATTGAATGTTTCTTCGAGTACTAAAGGTTTCTGCGCAGGCATGAAATCTGAAAGCATGATAATTGATAATACCTGCCAAAGAAAAGAAACAAACATTAAAACTTGTTTGATGAATAAAAGCTACAGAAGTATGATATGATCAAAGAAGGTCCAGGATGTCCTTCAGGATATCAGCAACGTTCCAACGCTTAGTCATGTGATATTACGAGTTGAAACAGTCTTTAATTAAGATTCTTTTTTATTGTCATGACTGTCCAGAATGAATCTTGTCAGGTCATGTAGATATGAGATAAGAATATCAGAGAAGATGGCTTTGGCAGAGCAAAGTGCAGTGAATGCATCCCCAATAACAGCTAAGTGCAATGAGCGCATCCCCAACATAGCTAAAAACCCTCAGCTATGGGATCTGCCTCCAGAAATATTAGCATTCACGCTCACCAGCATATCAAAAGAGTAGAATCCAGGCATGAACTCTTGAACAAATGAGTTATAGCAAAAGAATCTTTGGTCTCTAATCATATATTAAATCAATCTCTTGCAGATATTGATCATAAACACAAAGTTCCAAAATTGTGGGAATAACTCATTTCATGGTGGTCACTTCTTCTGAAACCAAAATTAATTCTACATTCAGAAATAACATAGTAAAAAATTTATTGTGTCTGCTTGAAAGATTTACTATAGACCTTGAGCTTGGTAAGCA